CTGTTTTCATTGGATGAACCATTGAATTCAATTCAGGATGAAAGCAGTCATTCCAAACTTCGCTTTCATTACATTAATTAGTTTGAAATAAAAGTGCATGTACTGATACTTTTTCCTGTCATTTAAAGATGTTATTACAAGGTTTTGTATTTCAATCTGGTCATCAAGAAGTCTCCAGTTGTCTTTATTATGCTGAAGATTTTCTGCTGGGTTTTAATTTGGTCTGATTCCTGGACACAAAGATTAAATGTCAAGCAAGATGTTGAGTAACTTTCATTGTCCTTAACCTGTTTTAAACAGTGACATATATCCCTCTCGTTACCCAAAATTATATGATTGCTCGAGGAAGATTGTTTTTGGAGAGCAAAAACTATAAAGACAACAATATTCTTGAGAGTTGCCAGGAAAAGCCATTTGCTTGTGGGGTGTGGCAGATGTGTGTATAATATCACAGCAGTGTGTGATGGTGTATATACACATATAAATGGGTGTACATCCATRTGTGTGTACAAACACAGAGACATAGGAGAAAGAAGCTGCATTGACCTGACTTTTTCATAAAAAACATACTTTTAAATGGTTGTGGATATGGGGTATGGCATGGTCAGTTCCTATGAGTGTACTGGACATGTTGTAAGCTCGAGAATAAAATATAAGCAGTTCTAATGTTATGTTTACATTTATATGTATGCAGTTAGTCTAAGTAGCATTGTAAAGATCTGTTTTTCCCTCYTCCTTTCAGCCTATTTTAGAATCAGGAGCCATAGAACTTCTATGTAGTTTAACCCAGAGTGAAAATCTTGCCTTGCGAGTGAATGGCATTTGGGCTTTAATGGTGAGTAGGACACCCCAATGAAATACCACACAGAATTTTATTCCTTGAAAAGTTTGTGAACATACCTTGTAAACTTGTCAGTTGATATTAAAAATGACATAATTGAAATCTGGCTTGTCTTTCCACCGAACTGCAGAAAAAAACCCAGCATCAACCTGGAACACTTCATCTATTAGTCCATAAAGTAAAATAAATTCTTCAGTTCTGATACCAATTTTGTTGCCAAGATCATTCAGGGAAGCAGTTAAGTAGTGTCAGTAGTGTGCCAGGGGCAAATAAATGCAGGTAATAACCAGGTCAGCCGTAAGAGAGTGTGGAAATTGAATTCACTATGTAGCAGTTACTCATAAATTACAGCCTTTTTGCAAGATTAATTTAGGAAGAATATATTCTTGTAGGGAATAATCTATTAAAGGAGTGAAAGTCCAGGTTTCAGGTAAAAAGATGAGTTAACAAGTGTGTGTGTGTTTCAGAATATGGCATTTCAAGCGGAACAGAAGATCAAGTCAGACATCCTGCGAGGTCTGAGCACAGAGCAGTTGTTTCAGTTGCTTTCTGATTCCGATGTAAATGTTCTGATGAAAACTTTGGGACTGCTCAGGAATCTTCTCTCCACTCGCCCAGTAAGTAGAGCTGCAAGCTGACCTTCTGAAAGCTGATTAAACATGCAGCCAGTGCAATGCTCCTGTGCAAGACAAGTTATTTTTCTGTTTTAGCACCACTAGAGTTTATTCGAAAAACTGTAAGCAAATGTACAAAGCAGTATGGGAAAACATTTGGAAGAATTCTGTGCATCCATGGAAACATTGTAGTTATTGTCAGAGCTAGACATGTTCATATAATGCTCAATTCCATTGCATTTGGCTTTCAGCAACATTATTTTCATAGCAGTTTCTCTGTGAAACTTGTCCAGAACAACACTGAGGGTTGCACTGTTGAGTCAGTGTGTGCAGAGGTCCAGATCTTAAAGATCTCTGTGTTTCTTCTTCCTTGGCACTTGAAATGTTTCTGTTCTTACCCAGCCATGTAGATAGTACTGGCTTTGCGAATTTGGCTGTAGAACTGTGCACTTAAAAAAGGCAGATGTTCATTTTGCACCCTGAAATAAAATGGTTGGAAAATGTAAGCSCATGAATTGTGTTTGACAGGGGAGAAAGTGATATTGGTGGATGAAAAGGAAAGGGTAATTCCTTGTGAAGAACAGAGGAAAAACGTGCAGCAAACATTTTGCAAGCCAGTATTTTTGAGTGGAAAAAACCCTGCAAGTGTGTACTGTGCTTTTATCATGTGTTGTCTTTCTGCCATAAAATGGTCACTGTAAAGAGTCCTCTAGTATTTGTACTCATTGAGTCTTAATAGCCTCCACAGAAAATGAGCTCTGTCTTAATATAAAAAGGTATTTAATAGCCAGTCATTCATTGAATTCACCCTGACAATTCTCATTGTCACTTAATGTGTTCTTCATCTGAGCTATGTGTCAGCTTCACTGCTTCCTGTGGTAGGTTTTAGAGCCAGAACCAGCCATTTTCAACCTCTGCCCAAAACTCACTCCAGAATAACTCATCCATCAGCTTTCCAATGAAATCCCATTGTCAGCAATTTTAAGAAGTCCTACAAGAACCCATGAAGCCTTAAAGAATTGTAGTGTGCCATGTGCTGATCATCTCTGGAGCCTGCTGTGACTCCTGAGGTTTGGTATCAGTCAATCCAGTAGATCTTGTTTCATCTTTTCTCCTTCATTCTAGTGGAGGTGTTTCTGGTCTGTCACCCAGTGCCCTTTGAGCTGTGATGCTGTGMCCTTGGGGCACTTTCCCCAGTGCATCTGGCTTAGTTCTCTGTCCACCTCAGGCTTTGGGAGTGTGGCTGTGAGCACAGTGTCCCTGCAGGAGTAGGGAGATCAGAGCAGAAACATCTGTTTTCTCTCCTGTGTCCGGTATTACCCCTCTGTTGTCAGATGAGAAGTGGTTGTTTGTAACTCCAGCATCATCCCTAGAGCCTGGGTCTAGCAGGGGTCAGCCCTGGCAGAGGCCTCTGTGCAACTGGGACAGCAGTRTCTGCTCTCCAGGTGATGGGAAAGCACCAGCAAGGCCCCTGTGATGCTGTCTCAGACAAGAACAGGTTCCCCATGAGGAGGAATGTTCTGAAGTGTTTCTGCTGTGGTAAATTCTTGGTTTGGGAAAGCTCACAGCTATGCTCTGTGTGTGGTGATTCAGGCATGAATGTCCCTTCTCTCTCTGGGGAGTTGCACTAAATGTATTTCATCCTTGCTTTGGCAGCACATAGACCATATAATGAGCACTCATGGGAAGCAAATCATGCAAGCAGTGACCCTCATTCTGGAAGGGGAGCACAATATAGAAGTCAAAGAGCAGGTACGTGTTTTGTTTTGTGTTGTCTTGGCAGAATGAAATGTAACAGCGAAGAATGCTTACTGTTCACAACATGTCATTTTTTGTTTGGGATTATGATGTGTTGTGAATATTTTACTGAGATCTGTCAGATGAATAACTTGAGTACCTACAAAAATGCTTTTCTTTCTAATGGATTGTTACAGAGTTGTTTGAATTGAATTCAGATTGGTTTTGCAAACAGAGGTTTGGCAAAGAGGAGGGATGTGAGAGCAGGAGAAAATTACACTGGGGCCATTGCATGGCAGGAAGGGGACAGTAGGAAGAGAAGGACAAAGACCAGCTGGGGAAGGAGCATCGTAATGTAGCCCAGGAAGAAGTGGGGAGGGGCCTGTYCTGACAAATTAGAACTTAAGCAGGATGCAAAAGGAAAGGCAGAGGGAAAGAGGAGATGGAAGCAGGGAGTGGCATCCTGGGGCCAGCTGCTGTGGGGGTGCTAAAGTGGYAGGGAGGGGTGGGCAGGATCTGGCTGGGTCACTCCTGTGCCACATGAAACAGGCAAGGGGGAGAACTGAGTCCCTTCCTCATGACAGGGCATATGGTGGGGAAGGAGCTGGGGGAGGTGCCAGAGGATTGCTTTGGCTTACGCTGGGCAAGGGTGCAGACAGCATGGGCAGTGAGTGTAGGAATAGAGCTGGGCTGAACCTCCACTCAGGGAAGAAAAGGCTGGAGGCAAACAGGCCTTTTTTTGTGATTTAATTGCAAAATTAGCAAAAAACATCCCCAGAGACTCTTGCTAGCAAGTTTAGTGACACCATGACTCTGAAACAGCTGAGAATGAACCACTGGTGTCTTTCAAAATAGGTCTTCCTGCTAAAGCTGTGGTGACAGGAATGGCCTTTACTGCCATGGGAGGTTATTTACCTTGCCAGCCATCTCAGAATCACTTTGCAGGAGAGCCAGCACACCTGAGAAATCCTCTGAGAAAAGGCTGGGGCTGGRTGTGGACAGTGGAGTCCAGGGCCTTTATTTACAGAGCATTGCTTGGTCCCTGTGCAGCTGGCTCTTGTTTCAGGATCCAGTAGGACCTGTCTGCACAGCAGAGCCCTGCTTGCAGCAGGACAGTGCTCGTCTGTGCCACTGCCAGGCTCATCAGGGTGTAATTAGCAGCTTGGAGGTAATTAATCTATGCAGCTGCTGACACAGTGCAGTGCAGCTCAGACACACGCACTGCACAAGTGCTGATCATGCCCCAATGTCCTGCCAGCGTGTCCAGAAAAGAGGGAGAAGTTCTTCCAGAGCTCTTTGGGAAAGATCTTTTGGAGCATCTGCCGGTGCCCCTGAGAGCCAGGGAAGGGGCTRTGCCAGTCCAAGCTCTGTGCAGGTGGTGCCAGTGTGGGCCCAGGTGCTTCAGGGGCATCCTGTGGGATGGCTCCTCTCATTTACAAGAAATAACCAGCTGCAGGAGAGGTTGGAGTTACCTGTGCAGGTAACAACTGTGATTAGACCTGTTGGAAACAAATTATGCCAGGTCAGCCGAAAGGTCTCACCTTTTCCTGGCCTGAAGAACGAGGTGGAAATGGTTGGGCTTGTTGTTTTTCCTTTCCCCTCAGCCACTGTTACGGAACAGATGCTTTATATTCCAGGGCATTTAATCTTTTCTCTATGCTGTAGATTTCCTTAAAAGACTGTAAATGTTCCTCCTCGCAGTGAGTTACTGAGTGCTGCTCGTTGTTTTAAAATGGCGCTTAGTGTTTTTGGCCCGGGCTGCTCCCACAGCTGGTAACTCCTTGGCATGGGCCCTAGATGTGAGTGAGCTGGAAACTCCAGATTAAAGATATTAAAACTAATTAAAGGAATTGTTTGTCCCGAGTTCAGAGCTGTCAGGGAAGCTGTATAAATCATGGGATGTGATCTGGGGCCAAATAACTTCCCAGTTTTTCTCTCTTCCAGACATTGTGTATCCTTGCCAATATAGCAGATGGCACGACAGCAAAAGAACTGATTATGACCAATGATGACATCCTGCAGAAAATCAAATACTACATGGTAGGGGGGATTTCTCTTAAAGGTTTMATGGTGCTCTTTTGCAGGAATGAAAAGGGGAATGTGTTTTAGGGTTTTGTTTTGCAAATTATTCGTTATCATGCCCCCAATTTCCATAAAACCAGTGGGRTGTAAGTGTAGTCTGTAAGGCAGAGGTATAGGGAGGAACTGATCCCAAGGAAAATCCAGGGGTTATTTCCCATAAAAATATTACAGTAACTTCAGCAAYAACACATCTACATAAAAAGACATTTCATGAACTTGGAACAGGCATATCTTGGAGATGTCAATAAATATTTGGAAGGAAGTGATTGAGCGCTACTCAAGTGCCTTATATTATGGTCCTATCTTTGAGAGAAGTTGTAGATAAGAATTAGTCCCAGCTTTGCTGCCTTATTTATTACAGGATGAATGCCMAAATGTAAATCTTGTGCATTTCTGAATTTCTTCTCCTAAACTTGAGTTCTGTTTTTCTATGTTTAGAGTCATTCAAATGCTAAACTACAGCTTGCTGCCATGTTCTGTATATCTAATCTCATATGGAACGAAGAGGAAGGTAAGAACACTCCTTATTAATGCACAGATAAGTTACTGTCCTGATCAAAAGGCTTTTGTTGCATAGTAATCAATATTTGCAGTGTACAGCACAGTGGGATATAAAGTATAATGGGAAACATCATTTTAGGTGTGGTATGGAAACGTGGGAGTGGGTGGGAGACACTGAGGAGAATCTCAGTTCTAGGGGGGACACAAGGACACAGTGACAATAAACAGGAGAGTCACACAGTGGGAGGTTTTCACCTGAAACATTTCRGTGAAGCGTCAAAACAACTGGAGTGAAAGAAAATTCTTGTAAGAGCTTCCAAGTCTTAAAGGGGCCRTGGAAACTGTTGGAGGGAGCAGGTTCACTGGAGAGAATAAATGGATTAGTAGGGGATTTGTGGCAAAGAAATTTTCCACAGCTTGGATGGCTTGGGTAGTGAGACTGAAACCAGCCGAAGGACTTGTGGGTGGAACTGGAAGCAATGGAGAAGGCATTTGGGGAGAGGAGTCATGGCCTGGGAGAGTGGAACGTAACCGTGAGGGGGCTGAAGGATCTCGGGAGGATACTGTGAGAGGAGGAGAGAGCAGAGGACAGGCTCAGAAACAYCTCCAGGGGGATGTTCTCTGCATCCAAATCACGTGAAATCACAGAGATGAGAATAAGACAGCTGAAGTCAGAGTACCTTGGATAAAGGTTCTTGCGTTCAAGATGTTCTTGGCTCCAAAGTGTACACAGAGCACACAGCAAAAGGAGCTGGAGCTAGCTGGGGAAGCAGGCAGAGCTGAGAGAGTGTTTCCATGGCTCTAGCTGGATATTGCTCCTTGCCCCTCCYTGAGCTGCTTTCTGCTCCCCCTGCTCTCTGCTGCCCTGCAGACACCGGGGCTGCTGCCACCCCCAGCCATGGCATTTGTTCTTGCTGCAGGTTCACAGGAGCGCCAAGACAAACTCCGAGACATGGGAATAGTAGATATTCTACATAAACTGAGTCAGTCCTCAGATCCTAATCTGTGTGACAAGTGAGTATGAAGAGGATACAGGATCACCACAGTTGTTAATCTCAGTTAAATGATTTTAAACTGATTAAGCCCAGCAGTAATTTTGCACCCACCTGTGCTGTTACTGGTGTTAGTATCTACACAGATCATCTGGGTGCTTCCCAAACGCATGGAACCAAAACAGCTACCAACAATTTCTGGGGTTTTATGTTGACCTTTTGCAGTTATCCCACCTGCAGTTAGCAAGGATCATATTGCGTCCTGAAACTAAAGGAGAGGATCTGATTTTTGGAAGATGTCACACACATAACAGCACAACTCAAAATTGTACAGTGTTTTTAAAATGCATTAAGTTTGAGATTCTTGGTTGTATGAAAGATGTTCTAATGTTCATAAACATCTTTGTAGTAAAGTTAAGGCTTCTCATCTTAAAATCTATGCCAGAGTACCAGCACTGAAGGTGATAATCAGGAACATGCTGATATACCCCCAACTGCCACACCAGCTCCATGAGCTATTATGGCCTGTGATCACAGCAGGAAGCTGGGAAGATACAAATAAATAATTTTCTCCGTGTTGATGAGTTGTATCAGATCTTGGAAAAGTCTGTTAAGGTCATGGTAGCAGGTTGGGARCTGTGGGGGATGAAGGAAGAGCAAAGCCTCTCACTTCAGGTGGGATGAAACTCAGAATTAGCTGACCTGATGATGCAATTGTAACCCCGGCCTGATGGGACGTGGTTTTGTCTTAACAAAAATGTTGCACAATGTTAGATTATGTAAAATCCCAGTATAAGAATGACTCCTTTCTCCCTCTCACCTCACTGTATATTTTTGCTGGGGCCAGGATTCCTACAGGACTCCTGACAGGACTAACATGCTTTTAGGATGTTCTGAGTTGATGCCCCTTGATTCCTCAGCTCAAAGAGGCATTTTCATGGTACAGCTGTATTACAGAAAGTAATTGCCCTTCAGCTACTGTTCTTGAGGGACTTTGGAGGGTGTGTATGACACACATGCCAAGCCCCACCATGCTGGGAGTGCCTCAGTTGGTTCTGGGATCCAGTCWTTGGTCAGATCAGGTTATCCTTGGATGCCAAGTGGATGCTTTAGCAGTTACAGCCCACACAGAGCATTTCTGCACCACGGCCAGGTCCTTTCAAAGTGAGGGAGCCTTTTTCCTCAGTCCTCCCCACTTCCTCCCCTGCTGGCACAGTCAGTCTGTCCAGGCAGCTGCTGCTGCTGGAGCCAGACCCCAGTAATTAACGGGTTGTTCTTTCTTGCAGGGCGAAGACAGCACTCCAGCAGTATCTTGCATGATCAAAGACTGATTGAACCTATGGACACCCCTCATGTCTACTTAAGGAGCAGCAGGAGATACTCCTGACTCCTTACATTTGCACAAGTCACCTTGGGCTGCATTTTTCTCAGGTGCAGGGAGCTGCTTTGCAGAAACAGTTTGAATGATCAGGTCTCCAGTGCACTTGAGAATTTTCTTGAGGTAGTTTCTTTACTCAGAGGACTCTGGGGGGGTTGTTTTGGTTTTTTGGGTTTTTTYCCTGAGCTACCTGGACTCTCAGATAGAACAATCAGTCATCGTTTTCCTTTTGGGCCTCCAATTCTCTGCTTTAGCTGCAGCCTCGTGTGGGTGCGTGGGTGCTCGAGTGCGTGCGTGTGCCGGGCTGAGTGCGTGGGTGTGAGACCTCACTCTTGGTTTTCCTTTTTTTTGTGTGAAAATCTTTTTCTACAGGTTTTCAAGGGTTAACCATTGTTTGCTGTACGAATACTTCAATGAATTATATACAGTTTGAATGAAATGTTATTTAAAAAAAAAAAAACAAACTGTTGTATCCCATAAAGTTTATTTTGAATTTTGAACAGATGAATGTTTTTAAGTAAAATATATGCATTTCTGAACTTCAGCTTAACTTACATTATACTTCCTTTTTAAAGAGAAAATGGAGGGAGACAATAGACAACTCCAAATTTCAAGCAGCACATTCTGTACTGACAAGGTCCAAGAGTTCTGTGCCGCAATACAAGGTCACCTGCTATCGATGACATGCCCACACTCATGGAATGGGCYTACTGGATTGGGTTTGGGCTTCTTTACATTTTTGAAAAACAAGCTCATACTTCAGGGTTAGCATGACTGATGGCTTTTCTGGAAAGGAGCAGGTGGCTGCATGATCAGCAGGAATAAGCTCTTGCTTTGCAAGCCAGGAACTTGCTCAGCTAATTGCTGAAGGATTGGCTTATTCCTGGTGAGAAGGATTTGCTGATCACTGGGATCAGCAGAGCAAACAGTGTGTTGCAGAAGTTACACCTTCCAGAGACTAGAAGGAGCTGGCCAGCAGTGATTAAGAGATTGCTTTTGTTTTGCATCCTTTATCTCCACAAATAGTTAACTGACTTCCAAATTACTTCCACAAAAGATCAGCTGGGTGYGTTAAGTTGGGGAAGGGATGGAAAAACTGGGGGTTTGGTCTTGTTTCATAGCTCAGTAATGTTRCTGCAGATTTTCTGTATATATGCAGCTGTACACACGTGCATGGATTTTGATTGCTGGGTAATTGGTGGGGTGGGGCTGCACTCAGAAGCCCTGACTGTCCCTGCAGTGGTGGCTGCCGGTGTGCACAGGGAAATGCGAGTGCAGGTGAAGGGCACTGTGTGAGGGCAGGCTCTCTGCRGAGCCCAGTGCTCTCCCAGTCTCCTCCAGCAGTTCAGGGCTCTCTGCACAGGCCTCCTTTCTGGTTCCAGGTGAGAYCAGAGCTCATAGTCAGACTCTCCAGACACTGCATTTACGTAGCATTAACAGGCACTAAAGTTCGCAGCCAATGTCTTAAACCAAATCTTTCTTCTCTTACACTGAGCTTCAGGAAGGCTACAGCAAGAGGAGAGATCTGTAACTTTGCTAACCAATTTTGATAATTATTAAATCTTTTCTTTCTAAACAGAAGGTCAAATTGTGATGACAGCCTTACTTTTTTTCCAAGGTAACTCTTTGTATCGGAAAATGTGACCACAGTTTGGCCTGGAATTTGAATGTGCTGTGTATCCGATAACTGTTATCACTTGGTTGCAAAGGAGAATATCTGCATTTCATGTAACATCTTCCACTCTCAAAGACAAATAAAAGCGAGCACCAGACACTTTCCCCAGGCATTGCAGTAAGTGACTGGCAGTTTTTTAATGTCCTTCTGCAAATGTTTCATGATGGTCTTTGGGGGTTGAACTAAAGGGAAAGTAAGAAAATGTGAGAACTTGTTAAATCTCAGTACCACAGAAGTGAAATCTTGTTTATAAAGTTCAATCAAATACATTTTTGCTTGAACTGAGAAGGAAGTTCTGAGGCAGGTATTGCAAATGCAGAATTGTCCAGTGGGCATCTCCCTGCTCCATTTGCATTCCTGTCTGTGCTTGGGAGCTTAAGTTCTTACGTATCTCTTCTCATCCTTCCCCAAATCACATTTCTAAAAGCAAATCTGAGTTTGATTCTATAAAACTTTGGTGCCTACAGGCGTTCAGAAAGAAAGGTGAGTAAAAGTATCCCTATAGAAGTTTTGAGGTGGTTTCCTAAAATTCTGCCAGAAAAACTAAAAACCAATGCTCAGACAATCTTGTTGCTGCATGAGAACACATTTTGAGGTGACATTTTCCACAGATATTGGGAGGACAAACTGTTGGATGAGAACATTTTTACGTTCAGTTAAGCTTTGTGAATAATTTTTGATGTTGCTATAGGTATGTACAAAAAGAAGAATACTGTAAATAAAAAGAACTTTACCAGAACATCTAGGTTTTTCTCAGCTTCCTGAAGAAATGTGAGCTCACTGTGCCAGCTCCTCTACAGCCTGAGATTCCCAGGGGGCCAGACTTTCCTGATCACCCAGAGCTTTCCCAACTTCATCAGGTAGCAGCAGCTTGTGGATTCCAGGGTTGCTTGCAGAATGTCTGGGCATCATATGAAATCACCAGGATTTCTGCTGCTCTTGGGCCATTTCTCTGCTGAAAAGCCAACCTGATGGATGTTGATAAATATGTCCTCTCTTTATAGCTGGTCTGGTGATTTGAGTCCTTCTTGCAGAGGTTACACATGCTGCAAAGTGAAGAGTTGAGCAGGGGATTTGGGACTCAAGCTCTCAGACAAGTGGTACCTCTGGCTCTCCCCACCACCTTCAGTCCACGTTTGGACTGTCTCTCCCAMAGAAAATCCAATGAGACATCATGTCGCTGTTGTTCAGTCACAGATTTGCATTGTGGTAGTGAAGGAAGCCCAGTGACCAGTGGGTAAAGCAGCTTGTGCCTGGGTATTCTAAAGGCAAACATCTCATTTTTTAAAAAGCATTTTTACAGACTGCCCTTTGTAGTAGATGCTGTGCCTCTACAAARCTGCTGAAGCAGTGACACAGCAGGCAGAGCAGCAATTGAGGTGCCTGAGATTAGGTTCTTGAAGAGAAGAAAATTGGTTTAAAAGTGCTTTCTTAGGTAATCTGAAATGTGAGCACAAGAGCTRTCAGTTTGCAAACTTTCAGTGATGGTCAAAATCATCAAGGCTCTTCTGCAGGGTGATTGCCACAACAAAGGACATTGTGGGGCCACTGCTGGACCCAAAACGGAATCCTCAGCCACGAGGACTGTGAACAGCTGGAGCAGCAGGCCAGCAGGGTCGTGTGCTGTGTGACGAGGAGCAGCCCCAAGGTGTGCTCTGGAGCCCGGAGTGCCCAGGCAGGGGAAGGGAGGGGGTGAGAGCAGCAGCCCTACCCGAATAGCATCGCTGCGGGGTGCTGGGCACTGGCGCTGCTCTCGCTGCAGAGAGGACAGGAAAACCAACAACCTCCCCAGACTGAGCTTGTGTGGAGGGGGACAGCGCGAGGTCACGCCTGGATCCCAAGCCCTGCTTGGAGCCCGCGGTCTGGGAGAGAGGTTGGAAGGCTGGAGTGGGGGGTGAGCGTTGGCCTGGGGGAGCCGGACGCGTGGAGCGGGCACAGGAGCGGCCGGGCAGCCGGGCAGGTGGAGCGGGCACGGGAGGGGCCGGGCAGCCGGGCAGGTGGAGCGGGCACGGGAGGGGCCGGGCAGCCGGGCAGGTGGAGCGGGCACGGGAGGGATTGGGCAGCCGGGCAGGTGGAGCGGGCACGGGAGGGATTGGGCAGCCGGGCAGGTGGAGCGGGCACGGGAGGGATTGGGCAGGTGGAGCGGGCTCGGGACGCAGGAGGGCTCCACTCGTAGCTGCTGCCCGGGCAGTTCGGGACAGACGGAGCCGAGCTCGCCGGGGGAGGGAGCGGGGCTGGGCTGGGCTGGCGCTGCCCTGGCGATGCCAGCGCTGCCATGGCAGCCTTGGGGCCCTGCCAGCTGCTGCCCAGGTCCCTGGCTGGGAGCTCCTTTAGGCCCCGCAGCAGCAGCAGCTCGGCTCTCGGAGGAGGTGTGAGCAAAGGTGTGCCCGGGTTTGGGCAGTGCCGCAGGCCCGGGGTGSTGCTGCAGCTCTGTGTCTTGGCTGGGGCAGCAAGGACAAGTGAAAAGCTCTCTCTGTAGTGCAGCTTGGCCAGCAGTTGGATCYACGGCATCASAGGCCTTCWGCAGGGATTTGTGTTTGGGACAGCTGCTCAAAGGACCCTACTCCTGCAGAAGGATGGCTGCAAAGAAAAAGGAGGGAGTGCTGCAGGTCAGTAGAAAGCAGGCCTTTAGCACACCTTGTACACTCTCAGTAAGTGATACAGTTCAGTCCTGGGGTGGCTCAGATTGTAATGGCAAAGCCCTGCTACGATGTCCTGGTGGGGAAGAGCTGTTCTTGGAGGCAGGTGGGAAGTGTGGGAGGACCTGGCAGGTCACACCTCTCCCCAGTCAGGGCTGTGGGGGGCACAGGGAGCTGTTGCAGAGCTGCAGGTTGTGTCTGGGGCTGCTGGAGCCTGGCACAGATTTGGCTGCTGTCAGATCAAAAGGCATCTGTTTTGTGAGGCAATTGCATGGAGGACATTTAGGAGTAGAGAACTGGGCCAGGGGGCAGTTCTCCTGGGTGGCAAGAGTCACTGGGTATTTCTGACCAGGTCATGTATTCACAAAGATCACCATAAAGGTGGGAAAGTGAGGAGGTACAAGAAAAATTCAGAGGCTGAAAAATCTATTTCACAGTGATGTGTAGAGGAATTTTTTCCTGTTTATACTACACAGATGACCTAGTGATGCCTTATAACTACCACAGGGGGAGAGRGGGGCTCTAAGAGCAGTTCACTGTGCAAAAACACTGAAAATCCAAAATAGGTTCTGAAGGGCTGCTTCAAATTTCGAAACTGATTAAATCTTTATGAGAGAAATGATGAAAGATACTATGGGCTTTATGACCTTGTTTATTCACTGTTTAAACTGGGAAATGTGGACATGTGTAAAAAGAAAAGAGGGGCACTTTATGAAGGTCGGAATGATTTCTGTGTCTGCTTGTCCAGCTGTGTTCCTGTGGGATGGGGAACCTGACATCAACCAACCTGTGCCCCTTTGGCAGCTGAGGAAAAGCTGGGGCTGCATCTGCAAAACTGGGATTGTTCACATCTGCAGATGAAAGCTGAACCTGTGTAGGACACGAGGGGATGTTCTGGAAGGGTTCTGGTTTTATTAGAGAAAAGCCGCGTCTGAGCAGCTTCAGGATGGATATCCAGACTAGCAAAGCACCTTGAAGAGTGCCTGCAGTACTTGAGTCCAGTGGTTGAACCCATGGCCAGACTCATTATCACAAATTACTGTCATAAATCATTTAAACTCATTAACATTCTGTGAAACACTCAGAGGGTGGTCCCAGCACTAGGAATAATTAAATTTTGTAGTTCTGCAGGTGTTCTGTGAAAAAACTCAGCTTAGGGTCATKTGCTGAACAGGCAAATAAACGGAGGTGTCTGAAGAGCTCCCTGTTACCTGAGCGAGACAAGGCACTGGAGAAAGTGCCCTGTGTGACCCCCRTGACACAGCTCTGAACACCTGTGAGAGGGAATTGCATCTGCACTGCAGTTTCCACTCTCAGAATTCTTGGCTGTGGGATTTTAGTGGCCCTTTAATGCCCGCTGGTGTTAGTTATTGTGAAATAGCTGGCCTTGATGCAGCTTCCTGTCTTTCATTGTAGTCTAAATGTAGCAGGGGTCGATGATACCCACAGAGGAAGGAATTAGGAATCTTCATTGTTCAGGATGAACAAAACCAGATCTTACATTTCTCAAGAAGCCTGTTTCATTTCAACTTGCTGTGTTTTTCTAAGTACATATTGAAGGGCAAGTCCAAGGGTAAGATGGGGAAGATGCTAAGGAATCTATCCTTTCTGATAASAGAATTAGGAGTGTGGGATAATACCATGTGTGATGTGGGGTATGGAGTGGTCTAGTGCATCCCTGACAGAGCGGGTCCCTGAGCAAGCTGAGCCAACACTGACCTTCGAGCAGGGCATTACATGAAGGRCTCAAAGGCTGCCCCCAGCCTAGACCTTGGTGTTCTCCATTCACTGTGCTTTGCAAGTCTTCAGGCCTTCAGGTAAGGACCTGCTGGGCTCAGACCACCCCCTCTAGTGCCTCTACACATCATGGATGCTATGTATTTACTAGTTTARTTCATGAAGTCTGAAACATCTCAGAGCAGTAAAACTTGTATGCAGACGAGGTGAGAAATTGTTGCTGGAGAATCATAAGGTTCATAAACCCTGGTGAGGGTTTATGGGCCTGAACAAGGAGTGGTTCAACTGGAGCCCTGGGCAGGCAGAAGGAGGCCCTGACAAGGACTGTGGGTCTGTGTTCGCAGTTTGGGGGCCCCAGCCAACCCACAGAACAGCTCTTGGTCTCTCTGCAAACTGAGTTTGGGATCCCCAGGCAGCCACTGTTCCAGCAGTGCCACTAAACAGGGGAGGACTTGCCCTTGGCTGGATGCTGCAGCCCTCTCCATCTGCCTTTCCTTGGATCTTGTGAGACATCTCGATCAGCTGGTCAGAGGTGAGAAAATCCCAGTCAGAGGAGTTTCCTGAGTGCCCAGGTAATGCGTCCTCAGGCAGGTGTGTCCCTCTGGAGTGATTTGTCAGTATGTTTGCAGAAACTGGGTAGTACCTGATGACTTGCTGTGGCTTTTAYTGTGTTTTTCAATTTTCCACACAGATTAACATCACTAGCCAGGAGCTTTGGGAAGAACTGCTGTGTCTCAAAGGACTCATTGGTAAGGGTTTGGTCAGCACACTGAGTTGCTCTTGTCCTGTTAAAAGGACACCAGGACTGTTAGGGATTATTAGTGTTAAGGTGGTTTAGTCACTCTCCATTCCCGTACCCTGAATGGGAGAAAACAATATCCCAGCCAAGGAGAGAGCAGCAGGAGGTTGTAGTCCTCTTCATGGATGTGGGTTAGTCATCATGCAGCCCAAGCAGTGCTGCTCCAGGAGCTGCTGGAGTCACCAGTCTCCCTTCTTGGAAGGACTGTCCCCAGYGCAAGGAGCAGCCCTGGCTCACAAGGTTCTTGGGAAAACCTTGTGCTCTACCTCTGTGCAGCAGTTTCCCCTGGGAATCTGGTATCTCCAAGGCCACAGCCATGGCCATATTTCTACTTAAGACTCCTCCACATCATTCTTAGCTTGTTATTTTATAATGTAATTCTGCTCTCTGATGCAGCATTTCAAACCTTGCAAAGGTTTCCAGTTCAGAGCTGAATCCAGCCCTTTTAGCATATGGTCTGTGTCTAAACTGACCCATTTTCACCTCATCCTTACTCATTTTCCCGCTTGCAGTTGTCGACGTGTTTCAAGCCTGGTGTGGCCCATGCAAACCAGTAGTGAATCTGTTCCAAAAAATCAGGAATGAAGTTGGCAGCAATCTCCTGCATTTTGCTGTGGTAAGATCTCATGTGGCACTCCTTGAAATACCCGGTCCCCTGAAATCAGCTGYGGTCAAAGGGCTGAGATCACTGATCTTTCCAATATTCAGCCCAAACCATTGCACTGCARGAGCTGCAGCTGCYRGGAGTGAAACTGCGACATACAGAGSCCTGGGTACATCTYACAAGAWTTCATYTAATTAAAAGTTTTCAGGATTCAGCTGATCTATGYTTTCCAGATTGCTCAAGCAAGTCGACAGTGATTAATACTGAGTCCCTGTGGTGTACAGGGAGAGGATGCAGGAGCTGGATTTAGTCACCCTGGGGAGGAAAAGGGACAGAGGTCCAGTGAGGGAGGATGGAGAAGGCAGAGACTGACATCTCTGAGGGAAACACAGCAACAGGATGAGATGATGGGAAGTTGCAGCAGGCAAAGTTCCAATAGAAGGAAGAAGTATTCAGGTGGGAGTGTAGGACAGTGGCACAAGTTCTCAGAGTGCTGTCAGAGCTGATTCTTGGAGAAGCTCAAAACTGACACAGCCTGGAGCATCCTCCTGTACTGCTGAGCCCAGCCCTGCCCTGGGCAGGGTCTGGCACTGGAGCCCTTCACAAGCCTCCCCCCTCAGCTGTGACTGTGTCCAGGAGCCTTTCCTGGCTGGAGACAGTTCTGCATTGTGGACAGAGCCGAGGGTAGGGAGGTTTCTCATTGCTCTGCCCTCCTGCCACTGCAGCTCCTCCTGGCACTTCTCTGTCCTCGAGGTCCTGAATTCACTTTTCAGGCTTTTTCTCTGGGATTCACACAGGCGAGCTGCTGTGAATAGACATCCCTGTCCCACAGGAGCTCTGTTCCAGCTCCTGGAGTGACATTTACCTGCTTCACAGGCACTGGAACTGAGCTGTGAGCTGTTGTGGCCCTGGCTCTGACCAGGGTCATTTTGTCCCCCAAGTCTGGGAGCCAGAGGTGTTTTCCTGCATATGGGGTGAACASCAGCCAGCTGAGGGTGTCTGAGTCCAGGCACCTGCCTGTGCATCCCTCTCGAGCAGAAATGCTTTCYAGAAACAGCTGTTTTATTCTACATTCCTTTTAGGCCGAAGTTGATTCCATTGATGCTCTGGAAAAATACAGAGGACAGTGCAAGCCCSTCTTTCTGTTTTATACAGTGAGTGAAAATACTTTCCCAGTAGTTGCATAGCAATATACATGACCTGCTGGTGGGAACAACTGTCCATTTGGAGGGATGTTTATTTATTTAATGTATGATGGACAGTTTTATTTGCTCTGTATCTGCTGGTGATCAAGTGCTGTGCAGATAAGAATATATAACCAATGTGCTGCCCTGTGGAGTCTTCAGGTTCAGCCTCCCGCTTCTGCAGGACCCTAGTTCTCTCTCACAAGCTGCTTTACTTCATCTGAGGCGGATGAGGAAGCACAAAGGAAAGTGCACCAAGGATTCCCTCTTGCTGGGGAGCACAGCAGCTCTGAGGGGAGGAGGGCCTGGTCCATGTAATGTGGGTGATGTGCTGCTGTAGGGAATTCCAGAGTGCAGAGAGCACAACCTGAGCACCTGCTGACTGATTTGCTTCTCACACCTTCCAGGCAGGAGAATTAGTGGCGGTTGTGAGAGGAGCAGATGCACCACTGCTGCAGAAGACCATCCTGGAACAGCTGGCAGGGGCAAGGAAAGGTTTAGAACATGGAGAGCCTGTGGTGGTAATGCATCACTAAAGCCTCAAACACCTGTACATGTGCATGCAAGAGGAGAGGTTCAGCTCCCCAGGGCCAGCAGAGCTCCAAAGCAGAGCCACTTCCTTGCAGAAATCCCCTTCCCTGCTTGGCCAAGTCTGCTGAGCCACTACCACAGGGCCTGGCTTTGTGTGTGTGGTCTAAAGCAATGGCATTTCTGAGGAGCAAATCTGCCTTACCTGTGTGACCTGCTGCTCTCAAGGCATCTCTAAAGCCTGCAGCTCCCTGTTGACAATGGCTGGCCTGTTCCTGGCAATGCTTTTCCCCCAGCTCTTGCTGTCCATGGAGAGCTCATCCCTGGAGAGCAGGTGTGGGATATTCTGGCTCATGCCCTTGCTCTTGCTGCAAGGTGCAGGACAGAGCCTTCTCCAGAGGGCAGGGAGGCAGAGCTACCCCTCAGAAGAACCTTGGGAAGGACAAACAGGTAGAGCAGGCACAGGTGTAGGATGTTCTTTGTGCCTTAAGTTGAAACCTTTAAAAGCTATTATGTTCAGCGGGGATTGAGCTGCTGCTGGGACACCAGGGAATGTCACCTTGAAACACAAACACCACACCAGGGTAGCTTGGGTGTATGATATTGTGAAACTGAGGGTATTTATCCTTCCAATGTTTGTTTTATCTTTCATTTGATCCCCCTTGTCATCTGGCCTGGCAAGGACTCCTGGAAATCCCACATGGCTTTCTGTTTTCTGGTGGTTTTAAAAGAAAACTCCSATGCTTGGGCTCCAAATCTGGTTATGCCATCTCCTGCCTTGGCTAAAATTATCCAGCAATTCCCAAAGGCTTTTGCCTCTTGTCCTAAAAGGGCCATTTTTTTTGTTAGCTTTGCTGTGATAGTGCTGCATCCTGGCGCTGTGCACWCCAAATCTTAGGCTCCAGAATGCTRGGGATTGTAATAAAACCCTCCTGGCTTTTGCTGAAGTGCCGTGGGCTGGAGGGGCGTGAGGGATGTTGGTCTCTGCCTCTTCTATCTATGYCTCTTGCTAATGTTGTCCATTTCCTTCCCTCGGAGGCTGACAAATCCGACGAGCCCGGGATGATAACTGCAGCCGTGGAGCAGATGCAGCTTTTCCAATAAATAAAGGAYTCCGTGTGGCGGCAGCAGCAGCAGCGGCTCCGTGTTCTCGTGTGGCGGCGCGCGGCCCCTTTAAGGCAGGGGCGGGGCAGCCCCACCGCTCTGCGCCTGCGCGGGGAGGAGCTAAGGCCGCGGGTTCGAGTCCCGGCGGTGCCGGCCCGGCCATGGCTGCGCCCCCGGAGCCAGCGGGGCCTGAGCCGTGCCTGGAGCCGCCCGCGCACCGGCTGAGCGTGGCGGAGCTCGACCGTGAGCTGGATTCTCGCAGCGAGCTGGTGCGTCCCCAGCCGCCGCGGAGGCGGTACGGCCGGGCCGCGGGGGCTGTGCCTTGCTTGGGCGCTTCCCGCAGGGCCGAGGGGACACTCAGACATCCGTGAGGGCGGGGAGGATCTCTCACATTCCTGTGAGGGCGGGTCAGGTCTCTCGACACCTGTCAGAGGGTTGGTAGTCCCCTCACACACTCATGAGGGAGGGTCGGCGGGTTTCTCACACACCTGTGAGGGACGGCCGGCGAGTCCCTCACACAACTCTCCGAGAGGGTTGGCAGTCCCATTGCACACCCATGAGGGAGGGTTGGGTCCCTCAGACACCTGTCAGAGGGTTGGCAGTCCCATTACACACCCGTGAGGGAGGGTTGGGTCCCTCAGTCACCTGTCAAATGGTTGGCAGTCCCATTGCACACCCATGAGGGAGGGTTGGGTCCCTCAGACACCTGCCAGAGGGTTGGCAGTCCCCTCACACCCGTGAGGGAGGCTCGGCAGTGGGGGCAAGGCTGATCTGTGCCATGGTGACATGGATCGCTGTCTTTCACACAAATTTCACGTTCTTCACTMTATATAGGAAATAACCCAACAACCCCCATAGTTCTATATGGCGGGTGCCTGATGTAGCAGGCACAGAGTCATTTAATTTCTCCTATSTTGCAAAACACAAATCAAAATTATTCTATGACTGTTTCTGGAGATAAGTCTCACACAGCCTCCAAGAGGGAAATACTGTCCTCACTCAGCCAGGTGAAACTGTGTGTCCCTGCCCTCGGAGCTGCCGCCTGCCTTTCCGGGCAGAGGCGTATGTGCATAGCTGCTTTTTATGTGTCTTTAATTATGATTTAGAAGGCAGAGTAGGCAACCTAAACTCAGACTGTGGTGTCTGATGTACAGATTGACGACAAAGAATTCGACATTCCTCAAGTTGATACCCCTCCAACACTGGAGAGCATCCTAAATGAGGTGAGTGATGCATCGGACAGGGGGAGGTCAGGTGAGGTGGCACATTCTCCTTTCCCTCTACTCCTAGTGTGTTTTTCCTGGAAAATAAAATTGTAGAACTTAATGGTTTCCTGATGCTGATAGCTAGCAAAGTACATGCTCAATGGAGTATTTGCTCTACAGAGTGTGATAGGGAATTTTGTTTTTTTTTTCTTCAATTAAAGTACTCACAGCTGCAGCCTAAAAGGTTTTCATCAAGTTTAAGCACATTTATCTGTAGATCTGGAGAGTTGCCTGAAGTCTAGAAGTCTSTTAAAGGTCAGGGTCTCCAAACAGCTTTTTTTTTTGGCTAAAAGTAATTGCAGAATATTCAGGGTGGTTCTGAAGTTATGGGAAGATATGAGAGCTAGATTCTTCACAGCTTCATTTGTGTTGTTCCTYTCACAGATGTAGCTGTGAGCAGTGAATGAGCTCAACATCTGATGTTAACTGTGGTACCTTGCAGGGAAGATCTGACTCTGTCTCACTTGTATCCAACTCAGTATATTTCTACAGTAGCTGAGTGCACAATCCTTAAAAATGTGAAGAAGGGCATGGAAGTAAGGATAMACTCCAGTAAAATAATCCTTTTAACAAAATGAGGAGATTGGTGCCTGGGCTTGCTACGAAGCTGGTATAAAGGGAAAAGGAACCTGCCATGAGTGACAATTCATTAAAAACCTGCATTAAAAACACAGGTGCAAAGCRTCCCAGAGACAGTCTAGGAACAAGAGGAGTAATAGGGGCAGCTGTGTCCTGTTTCTGCTGGTGCCTTGGGTAGAGGAAGTTCAGTAAATTTGGGTGATCTCAAACTGCAAGGACATGCATTGGCTTCCATGTCAGAGGACTAGATTCCAAGTCTTAAACTTGAGAGGTAATGATGAAGGAAATATAGTTGAGCACAGACAAATACAAAGTCTTAGCTCGCGTGGAATGGGAATGACTGGCAAAATATCCTCTGGAAAGGATTTTGGCAGAGAAGAACCTGTTTGAGCCAAAAAGACAAACAGCTGCAGTTCAGAAAGAGATGTTTAATGGGCACAGGACTGCCAGGTGTGAGAGAAGTGAGGGGCAGCTGCTCTGCTCTCTGCTGGTTTGGAATCAGCTGGGGGGGTTGTGTTTGCTCCTTCTGGCTCTGTGCTGAGAGAACAACAGGAGCTGCACTGTGTTTCAAAGACATCAGGGAGAATGGCTCCTTGAAAAACTGTAATAAGAAATTCCAGGCTCAGACTGAAAGGAGAGAGAGAGAAGTTAACAACAGAAGAGCACAGGAAAGAACAAAATCAATCCTTGTGGCAGCTGGAGGGACTTCTGGGCTCTTAGTGCCACTTGGTGAAATGCTGGAGTAGATGATGATAATTCCAGGCCTTCTTTTGGCACTTTTGAGACTTGGGAACAACTCTTTTAAAGGCCAATTTAAGTTTTGATGGAGTACATAATATTTGGGGAAGAAAGGCTAGTGTACTTCTTCTCCAGTCCACTTCTGTGGTTATTGTGAATTCTGGAAACTGGGTCTTCCACAGAATCAGTCCAGTAAAGTAATGAATAATTCTGGCTTTTAGTAAATATGAGACTTTCTTGTTCTCTCCTTCTCCATTTCCCCGCTGAATTGATGCTGTTTTGCTAATGTTTCAGTTCCAGTGTTGTGTATTTTGAACATTTAGCAAGCTGTGGTGATTTTCTCCCTTTAGACTGATGATGAAGAAGAGTCTTTCGTTTTGGAGGATCCCTTTCTCTTGAACATTGATAACACAGATACACACTCCTATGACACCTCTTCTGTGGCCAGCTCTGACAGTGGGGACAGGACACACCTGAAAAGGTACCCTGGGAGGTCAAATGATTTGTGGAGGGGTACTGCTTGTATCCATTAAAAACAGATTAACTGTTATTCCTSCAGGATCACATAGGCAAAGATGGGATTTGTAGTTTCACTGAGGGCTGGTCTGTTTGGACAATAAAGACATTTTRTGGGAGATAGAGTAGTTAAATTTCACCATATTCTAATTGAATCTTTAAAGCAATGAACCATGATGACACCATGAAGAAAAATCTAAGAGACGTCTAAAGGGGTGTCTGACCTAGTTTGCAAGCAACTGGTGGTTATTTGTAGAAGGTGTCTTCTGTCGTTTCTGTGAGTGGACTGCTGATGTTGGCATCTAAAATGGGATAATTAGCTCTAATACTGGTGACTTGTCTCATTAATTGCCCAAATTATGGCCTGAGTCACTCCTGTGGCCACCTTGTTTACCATGAGCAGTTGCACAGGATGTAAACACTGAAGTCTGATGGTTTATGTTGGCAGATGGTGGTGTGCRGACTCACTGTCCCTTCTTTTTTCAAATGAGATGGTTTGTACTGAGAAAAATCTTACCYAGAGTGGCTTGAACATCTTCTGGTACAGAATATGCAGGAAAACCTGGGGGTGTTCCTGTCACCTTTGGGTAAGGCTGGTTGCCATGGTTATGGGTCCTTAGCCATAATACCAGCTTTCAACAACATGTTTGATGTGCCCCTGTGGGAGCTGCTTGTTTGTGCACCTCTGGAGAGATAAGAACGCAACGTTTTTCTGGTAGCTTTGGCAATTTGGCTCTCTGGTAGTGTGAGCATGGCAACTCAAAGCTTGCAGCTTTGCTGGGTCATTCCCTGTWCTGTGTGCTAGGGTTTCCCAATGCTCTTTAGAAATAACTGCTCCTGCACTGGTTAGTTTTTGAAGATGTTTTCTMCATAAACAGAAGCCCTTGAGCTTCTATATCAGGTGAGCTGTGTTTAATTGAAGGCTATTCTTTAACACAGACCCAGTTTTCCTAGGGGTCTGTATTGTGTTAATAAGTCTTTTCCAACTGTGTATTTTCTTTAGATATTCACCTTTACAGGCTGAAACTTCCTCACTCACCGAAAGAGCTCAAGTGTTGCTTTTAAGATGTGTGAATGACTTCTAAGGTTTGCAGACAAGTGCATCAAACTGATCATTTGTTTAAAGAACTACATTTTTTCCTCTAGGAGATGAGTTAAAACCAAGCTGTGTGCAGGCACAGCAGGGCAGAGCAGGCTTTGCTGATTATCTCATGTCTTAGCTCATCCTGTGGCCCCAAGAAGAATGGAAACTGCATGAGTTACAGGTGTATACAGAATTTACCTGCTGGCTTAGCTGTGGGTTAGGCAAAGTTCCAAGCATTTATTCTGCTCTAATGCTTTTGGTTCATTTCTTACTTCCTTAGGAAGAAAAAACTCCCAGATTCTCTCTCACTCCATGGGTCAGTGATACGGCTCTCACTCCTGAAGGGAATTTCTGCCCAAATAGTGTCTGCAGCAGTAAGTGTCATCTTCTGGGCACATCCACTAAGAAAAATTTGAAACTCTTGGGCGGGGGGGGGGCTGAACGGTGCTCTCCTGCCTGCCCCTACTATTAGTTCTGTTTAACAGCATGCTTGGGACATGAACCAGGAACCAGTAGTCCCTAGRCAGTAGTGAATTAGGGCTTAGCTGACTTGCTGCAGCAGTGGTGTGGTGGGTCACTTTTAGCACTGATTTGGGTTGCTGGATGTCSTGAAACTTGGTGGGAAATGTTCATGTAACATGAAAATGTGCTTGAAGGTGCTGCAGCTGGGTTTGCTTAATGCCTGCAGCAGGCACATGGCTCTCTGAGAAGAGTACAATCACTTTCACAGGAAATTACAGGATATTCTGCATCCTCTTTATTTCTGGGTGTTTCTAGCCAGTGGTTCCCTCAGCTCTGTCTACCCTGGTGGGACCATTAAAATACAGCTGGTGTTGATTTTTCTGTGTGTTGTAGTTCTAATTATTAGACATTTACAAGGTAGGAGTTGTGTCTC